CCATGTTAATAAGTTGTTTGTTGCTTGATAATTACCACAATTTATGTACTATTTGCAGATCAAAATTGCTCAACAAAAGTGTGAGTTCTGATTGTATATTGTTAAAAAATTTACCAACATGGAAGATAAATAGAAAGGAATCATTTGCGGCTTAAGCGGACAAATAATTTTTCTTATTCCAAAAATTATTTGTCCGTTCAAGCCGTCAAAAATCTCTTTTATTTAGAATTTTCGGACACTAAAATCTCTTCATTAAAAGTATAATTAGACTTGTAAATTGATTAAAATTATTAAACTTAGCCCTTTACTACATAAATAGTGGATTATGTTAGGTAAAGTTATAAGTATTTATGTTAGTGTATATACTTGACTTCAATTCAAAACGCACCACTATGAACATACTGTAAATTTCAAGAATTAAGCAAATACCAAAAAGATGTCGACTGTTCTTTCACATATTATTGTAGTCGACGAGCATATTTAAGGTGGTTGTTTTAAAATAAAAACCCGGAATGTAATTTTAATTATACATTTTCATTAAAATAAAGAGTATATTTAGAATAATTCGTTTATTTCTTTTCATATTAGGTACCTAAAAAGCAAAAACTGCATCTCAAATATTTTCCCATTTTCTACTATGTAGAAAAAAAATACGACTTTGTACCTATTTTTTCCAGTACTAGTGAATGAACGTTAGAAATCACAGAAATCAATATCTTGATTGATTGAAACATTTCGCATTCGAAATATTTAAAAAATCAAGGAACTATGTTCATATGCATCAAGTGAACAACCTCTTTTTCAATATACGAAATAAATCACAAATTTAAACAAGAAATAAAAAACACTGAAAATCGGTGTTACAAAGCAGGTCAAGCAGCTTCTCTCAGATGAGAGAAGAAGGTAAGAAACATGGCGTACCAATATTCACAATTTACAAGCCAGTCAAATGAATCACTTTTCGATCCAACTCTTTGTGGATTTCCAGTCTTTGTGTGCAATATAAGTTGGCGAATTTCTTCTGAAATTTTTGACAAATTTATCATTTTACTATTAATAGATTTTCATATGGACGGAAAGACCGATTGGGTCGATAGCCTTTTTCTATAGGAAATAAAGATTATTTATATATATATAGATTTTTATACGAGGCTTTTGCCTTTTTAGGAAGGTGGCAAACTTAAATGATGGTTGTTAGATAACGTTACCGTTTTTTCTGCGAGTCTTCTAGTTTCATTCTTTATTTTGTTTAACTTCGATATTTTTTGGTCTCAATTTTGTTCTCATTTGACCAAATATGTCTAACGCATAGTCAGATTATAATTTCTCAGGACTTTTGTTCTTTTGAGTGTAATTCTGCAGAATCTAAAGTTATTTTTGAAGACGAATTTTTTTAAGGATTAGTTTTAAGACTTACTTTAAACTGATTCACTACTATTTAACATGAAGAGGATGAACGAGTCAGTTTTTTGGGTATTTGAAAGCAAAGGCCGGAAACAATTTACCGGACTTGTACCATCGTTGACAAGGTCGGTATAAATTACAAAATGCGCTCGTAACAGTTTGTTCTTCTCCGAAAAGAGCATCGACTTTTGAACAAAAGCTTTCGGTCAGAAACCTCAGAGCCGTTCATCCAACGATAAACAATTATGCTCTTTTTCCGTATTCCATCACATTGAAATTCATATTTTATTATGTCCGAGTTGATTCACCAGGGGCGGAGTTACGTGCAAGTTAATAAAAATGTATATGCTAATTCTGTGCCTTTGTGGTCTGGAAATATGTACGCATCAAATAGTAAAATTATGTTTTAGCATCTTTATATATTTTTATTTGTATTTTCAGTTTCATTTCACTATTGTTTTGCATTATTAAATTGGGCTTTTGAAATAGTTAAATAACATTTTTAATTCGAGAGTAGTATTTCGGCTTTTGGTCTCAGATACTATTAAATAATATAATTAGGAATGTCCCATAGAAGCAAAAAATCATTGAACGAAGATACGTGGGCTGTATAATACGCGTACTTGATTCACATTGTGTCCCATTGAACTAGATTTTTTAAAAGGAAGATAAACTTGAAAATTTCGTTAAGTCACTGATTTGCATTACTATTTTTTATTGACAAGGATAGATCATTTATTTGCAAATATAAATTGTTGAATTTTTTAGGCAGTCTTTTTATCTAGTTTTGAAGTCATTAAATTGTAATTTTTACCACTTTCGTCATGTCAAACTAACGCTTTATGCTGTCTTAATGCAGACACAGGAAAGAAAGAAAAAAATTAAATTTTCGAAAACTTTATAGTGTGCTAGCAAAATTAGCTGTTGTAGGAAATATAGGCATTTCAACTTACTTTCGGATTATCCCTTAAAAAAGGAACGTGAAAACATTTAATTTATAAAATTAAAATATTGACAACAAAGTGGTTTGTAAAGGGTTACCTTAAACTAAGTTTAAAAGAAAATTGTTTGTAAATGGTTACCTTTAGACACACATTCAATAATTTCATACACGCACTATGGATGATTCCTATAGAAAAATATACGTACATAAATGAATGTGAGAGCAAGCTGGTTATAAAACCTTGACGGAAAACCGGACACCGCAAAACTAAACAGCTTAAAGCTTTAAGAAGCCATTTCTAAACATAATGCTCGACACTTGATACATCCGTCACGTGTTGAGGAAGTCAATACCACAAAAGTGGTGATTTTTTTATTATAAAATTATTATATCTATACAATTATGTGAGTGAAACAGCACACAACTCATATACATTCGAATATCAGAAAGAAATGGTTAAAATGCAAGTGCTGAAGGCGGAACCTAAAGTACCTACCTACTTGTTCTTTTCATTCGTCACACCCTAAAAAATTTTTGGAAAACTTTTTGCAGCCTCGAATTATGGATAAAACCCGAATAATTATTTCTGGGTCTTTTCCCGAATTGAAAAAGCGAAAGTTTATAATCATTTATTTGGAAAACCCTTGGAAACAGGAGTTTCTTCACTTGTAGGTCAATATTTCTAAACAATACTGTCTGTAAACAGAAAAACCGCGTTTTTTCCAACGTTTTACTGAAAAATTCCGGCAAACTGAATTTTTTATGCAAAAAATTAAGTTGTTTGATCAAAGTAGTAAAACGTTACTCAGAAAAAATGGCAATAACCCTTTTTTAGATGTGAAAATACCAGTCTCGTGTCTCGTAAAGCTTTAACAAATGAATTACAACTACCCAATTACTAACCGATGAGTTATAACTCGTTAATTCAGAGAGCGGCAACAACTCAATAGCGCTACTCAACACAGTGTTGCCCAGGCCTAGTCTTGGATGATCTTAAGATATTAAATGTTATGATATTCCTATCTTTTCTGGGTTGCAGTCAAAGTGTGAAGTAAAAATTTTGAAACATCGTTTATTTCATTACGTTTCGGCGAGACAACAGCGCCATCATCAGATTTAAAATTTTACACAAACTCATGATTGGTAAAAATTAACGTTCCTTTAGGTCTTTGCCTTCTTGAAAAGCGTGAGTTTGTCTTAAATAGCTTTCAAAATTTTTACTTCACACTTTGACTGAAACCCAGGAAAGATAGGAATATCATAACAAATACACGCAGTCAGGAAAATAAATCAGAACTGAAGATATTAAGAAACAGTGCACTCAAAGATGAAGCCCAAGCAAGACTTGGAAATTACATTTTTAGACCCAACACCTGCCCATTCTCGTCAATTATGTAGGTATACGTATTATAGTGTATAGTAGAAAGCTGTCTATGAAAACTAACCATTTAAGCTCATTTTTTTAAATATTTAGTTATCGTAAAATATGCTACAGTTTCTATACATGCTTTGTCTCTCATCAAACCTATTTGGAGAGACGGTTATTTTTGTCTCCTCTCATTTTTCCTTTTTATTTTTTTTATTATACTTTATAAATGTTTACTCGCACATACCTCCAGGTCAATTGATCTGTGGTCGTTCGCCAAAGCCCAAAATGGAAATAATTATTACAATTTTTTTAAACAAAGGCACTAATTAATTATGTCTTCATGGCCCAGAAGTCACTCCGCTCCTTAAATTACCATTTCTAGTCGAGTTTAGATTTTCATTTGCAATAAAGCTAAGTTTATTCGTGCGATTCTCTTTTTATACTCTCTACTCGCTCGTTCCACTATTAAGTTTGAATCAAGATTTTTCTGATTATAATTGTACAGAAGTTTTTTCCTTATCCGAATTAAAGAACTTTTCTTTTGACTTGGATGCAGATTTCTCTTGTGCATGTTTTTAGTTTTCTTCCTTTTCACAATAACTAGCTGGTTTTTTCGTTCTTCAAAACCATATACCTTTTTTATACCTTTCCAATTCGAGTTCGCTTCTATTAGACTCGCAAGAGTCCTAGTTCAGTGTTTTGAGCTGACCATTGTGCACACTTAGTGCGTGCACGGCGTTTGTTTTAATATTGTTTCTGTTTTAGTCAGTGGGCGAGTGATTTCGAGACTGGCGATTTGCTGATAGCATTACCGTGCAACGTTTAAAGACATTAAACTTTTCTTCGCTGGCTTTAGAAGAAAAAATTTCAATTAAAAGTATTTCTTGTGTGAGAATACACAAAGGACTGGGAACACTTTTTTCTAAAAACTGGAATTGTTGCTCAAATGTTGCTAGGTTCAAAAAGTGCGCATTTCCAGGCTCTATGCGGTTATGGCAAATTAAAGCTTTACAGCTCTTCAAATATGAGCCAAATTTTGAAGCCAAAATACTTTTAAATTTTAAACGCTGATCAAAGCAGTGATATCATTTCGACGCAATATTTACATTAAAGCATTTTTTTTTAATTCTATATTAAAATCTTTTAATATGTACGATTTTGAGTTGTGGCGCCCAAAAAAAACCAGTTCAAAACTAGAAAGAGACCATCCGACCTCCAACTAGCGGGTTGCCTATCTCACAAAATCAGATCCCGGAATTTTCATATCCTCTCATTGACAACACAGTCGCTTGTCAGTCTGGGTGTCAATCACATTGTCAATAAAGTTAATTTAGAACAAAAAGGCTGATAAAACCTACTTTAGCTAGATAAATCTAAATCTTCATTGTCTTTAGAAATAGAAGCTGATACAAATTATGAAAGTATTGAAGTGATTTGAAGGCAATAAAGTTCGAAGCCGTGAAAAGCAATTTCCTTAGTTTTTTCTGTAATCGACCGGTTGCTATTTTTAAACTATGGAGGCCCTTATCCCTGTTATCAATAAGCTGCAGGATGTCTTTAACACTGTGGGCTCCGACGCCATACATTTGCCTCAAATAGTCGTGCTGGGATCTCAGGTAAATATGGTTTTTATGTATAAATATTAATCTGCGAAAATTACACCTATATTATCATATTGGATGAGGAGAGGATGGATGAGGTGCAGAACTTATAAAACTATGCACCTATATGTAACACATAGCTGTAGCACATGTAACAATTGTTACATGGCCAAACAATAGTTTACCAGTCACAATTAATGTAAACATAGGCATATAAATTTTAATATAAATATTCTTCATGAGTCTGGACTATGACTTTAAACTGCATAAAGGTAGTGTTAAGATACAATTCCCAACTTAGAAGTGTCTGCTAAAAGATTAATAGTATATAACATTTTTTTTAGTTTTGTTTATTCACCATTTGTATTAGGTTTTATTCGGATAAGTAGGTATTAAAAACTCATTACTGCTAGTACTGTCCATGTACACCTTAAGGATATATTGCATAAGTCGTTTTTAACTCTTAATCCACGTGTTAGCATGAAGTATTGCTTTTAAATGCATTTAAAGATCGATACTCAATGTTTCAAGTACTGTTGTTTACAAAAAAGGATACAAGCGCACAGTGTAAACTGCACAAGTTCCTTCACCAAACAGTCCAACAATGCGATTAATACTAACATAAAGATTATATGTAAAGAACAGGTTTGATGAATGATTGAAGTAAATATATTTGGAAGAAAATCAGATGTAAGCTTTATTTTTCAAATAGTCTTGGGCTTTTACAGCTCTTGAATGCACTAATAATTGAACCCTTAATAGCGCTTAAATTATAAGCGTTCAACGTTTCAAACGGCTACGTTAAAAAGTGAGAATGTTTTATCAAAACATTTTCCTCGATTTTGACAGATGGGGCTTTATGAGCCCAAATGAGAAAATGTGTATTAAAATTAAATACCGCCTTTAAGAATGACTTACGGGCCTGATTTTTTTAAATGTTGGTAGATTGATACATTTTAATGGAAAATTATTCGCGAGTTCAACTACCGATGACGGAGCTGCAAAACGTCAAATTACTCGTAGTCGAGTGACAGTTGAAACTTGTTTATTTATTGGAGTTGATGACATCTATAACATAAAACAATACTTACACACTTCGATCTGTTTTTATTTCTTTAAAATCTTGCAAAAGTTCGAAAAAGATAGAAACAAAACAAATCACAAACACCAATTTCAACAAGACTAGTGTCAAATTGCCTAAAATCGGTGATAGTTTGGTAATCTGTGATACAGAAATAAGATAATATCGCTTGCGAATAACGAATTTGCTTCTACCAAACTCTTGATTCAGTCAGGCGTTTGGACTTTAGAAATCGCGTATTGACAATGCCACAATGTATCCACCCACACGTGGGTATAACCTCAAAGATCTCGCCACAATTGTAAGTAAATGAGGTTGGCGAGCCTGTTAGATCGTCAAAATTTACTCAATTTTAATTTTTTTGAAAAATAGATCTTATAAGAGTTTTCTTGTAATATCGATCTCTTAATTTAATTTGGTTTTTTTGCTTAAAAGATTCAGTTTGCCAGTATTTTACAGTGAAACGTTAGGAAAAACGCAGTTTTTCTGTTTAGAGACAGTGTTGTTTAGAAATTTATTGACATTAAAGTGAAGAAACTCCAGTTTCCAAGAGTTTTCCAAATAAATGATTATAAACTTTCGTTTTTCAGTTCGGGGAAATATTTTCCGAAAAAGACCTAGGAATAATTATTAACGTTTTGTCCATAATTCAAAGTTTAAAAAATTTGCAAATCAGTTAAGGAGGCGAGTGTTCCAATAAAGTGTATCTTATAATTTTTCACAGAAAATACCTGAAGAGTGTATTTTAAGTGAAACTAAAAAATAATGCGATTTTTGCGTAGAAAGAATTGCTTAATAGAAACTTAGACTAGAAAAAACTGGAGGGAACTGAACATTTAAAGGAACTTTAAAAATCTTCAGAGCGATGAGGGCGGCGAATTTTCCAAATAATTTTTGTTAAACTTTGGCCTTCTGGTCGTTTTTTCAAGAGAATCCTAGTTACTTTCCGTAAACAACTGAATAAAATTATTTGATTTTGTGCCCAATTCGCAAATGGGTTTTCTAAAGTTCCCTGCAAACCGATGAATAAGGCGAATTTTCCAGCAAAATCAATTTTATAATTTTTGCCTGAAAAGACCCCATTATTGTCAGAAAAGAATAGTTTTTTTGCGTTTTCGATTAAAACCTTTCATTTTTGTGATCGGTTTATTATCAGACTTATTTCCGTTTGATTTAATGAAATGTTTACTTTTGTTGTTTAAATCCAAGAAACTGTTTTTATCATTGGTCTTATCGCAATTCATTTTGTTGAGGTTAGCGAAATTTCAGATGTAAAAAGTCGTTTCTTTGATTACAGTCCATCCAAAAACAAGGCGAAGTAAACGCATATTGGAAGAAACGCACTAAACAATCGATTATTTTATAGTGTAATTATACTTTATGGAAATATAAATTTTAGAATTTGTTAAACATATAGAATATACTATAAAATGGATATGTGCATATCAGAATTGAGCAGCAATGTGCAGATAAATCCCCAGATGGGCCATAATGAACTGTAAATGCATTGTTTTGACGATCACACACTGTATATTCGTTTTTTTGATCTGTATTGAAGTGAAATGGATCGTAGTAAAGTGTGAATCCCACAGATGAGCAATCGTGTCATGCGCTCCACGCTGTGCGGAGAGTTCAATCTCGTTTTCTTCGGTTTTAGTGTGTTGACACGCATGTTTCTTTTTTATCTTTTTAATGAATGGAATAAATAAAGATACAATGATTGGGCGTCCTCTTTGGGATATGAAAACATTGTAAATATTCTATGAGGCTGGTGCTAATGTTAATATAGAGAATAAGAGCAGGAGTACCGCTTTAATAGTGGGTGTTACTAAGGGCTATGAAGACATAGTCGCATTCTTAATAATCGCTGAAGCCGATGTTAATAAGCAGGATTCAAAGGGCGGCACTGCTTTATCCTGGGCTGTTGGTCGGGAACATTATAACGCTGCTATTCATTTATTGAATGGTGGTGCAGATGTTAATATTAAAGATGGCACAGGTTTGTCACCTCTGCACTGGGCGACAATTAAATCACATCCACATATTGTTCAAGCTTTAATGGATCCGAAATTTAAAGGAAATGTTAATATTATTGATGGATTTGGAGAAACTCCTCTGTTTAAAGCTTCTGGAAGAGGCAAAGTTGAAATAGTTAATATCTTAAAAAAAGCTGGAGCAAATACAAAGTTACGAAACCGAAGAGGTATAACAGCGTGTGATGTAGCCAAAAATTCCGAAATCGCAAAATTGCTTCAATGATTCACTGTTGTATACAGCTTTAGTATTTATATTTAAGCATTATATTATACATTATATATAAATAAAAAATTGATGATCCATATCGTTTTATTATAATCCTTCAGAGGGCAAGTAATGCTTATATCTTATTTTACCTACTGTTATCCAGAGTTCTTATTAGGGTTTGGAGGATTTGCTTAGTTATCTTTCAACTAAGAAAAGTATGATAATTTTGTCACGTGAAGCCTAGTTCAAAGAATACAACATCAGTTGTATGATAAGAAAAATGTATTACTAGCAGTTATTTAAGGTATCGTTTATTGTAACAAACGCCATTTTGTTGTGGTTTCAGAGTTCAGGAAAGAGCTCCGTAATCGAAAGTTTAGTTGGCAAAAGTTTTCTGCCTAGAGGCACGGGCATCGTCACCCGAAGACCTTTAGTGTTGCAGCTACTCTATTGTCCCAAAGAAGATCGAGAGAATCGAAATGCCAAAGATGGTAATTAACATTAATTACGTTTAAGTATAGGTTTTTTCCATTAAATTATTTATCAAATCATTTTCGAAATTTTATTGTGAAACGAAAATCAAAATAACATTTTCCAAATTGTACTGTAGGAAGTACTTCAATTATCATACTTACAAATTCTGAAGACAAATGCATAGACGATAGATCAGATATTGTTTAGATTGCTTCACCTGAATTGGAAATTGTTTGTAAATATTTAATAATTGACAGAAAATAGTATTTTGATTAAATATATTAATTTTACTCCTTATTCCAGTAACAAGCTTTTCAAATGCGTGTCCATATCTTTAGTATTACATTTTTACACCTTTATTCGGAAGAAACATCAAGTTTGTTTTATTGTCGAATTTATATGGGTGTTTCTTTTTATTCAAGGAACTGTGGATATTGAAGATTGGGGCGTATTTCTACATGCTAAAGACCGGATTTTCAGAAGCTTTGAGGAAATACGCAAAGAGATTGAAGACGAGACAAACCGAGTTGCCGGAAACAATAAAGGAATCTGTCCGGAACCCATTAATCTAAAAATTTATTCTACCAAAGTGGTCAACCTTACATTAGTAGATTTGCCGGGGATTACAAAGGTAATAACTATATTAGTCCAGTCAGATTAGACTTTAAAAGGCCTGTTTCGGACACTAAATAGATGAAGGTAAAAGATTATTGGAAGTTGTTCGGAGGGATGTTAGAATATTGGGACAATAGTCTGTTTGGACATTGTTTAAATAATTAAAGAAAGTGCGAAAAACCGTTTTTGGGGCATAACTTTTGAACCGTTAATGCTACAATATAAGACAAACTAAATTAACATCCGTTCATTTGTTTTACCCATTTTACTCGTAAAGAGTTTACTACAACTTACAATAAAAGAGAAGTTGAGTTGAAGGTCGTTGGAAAACAATTCCAGCCGCGAGCAATTGCGAGCGCGGCTTACAAATTCCCGATTTTCAACTTAATGTTTAAACAATTTACCATTCAGAAATGAAAATTCTCTTTATTGTACGTTATAGTATAAGTCTTTACAAGTACAAAACGTATGTAGAATCTGGCAAGACCTCTTTACATAACAAATAGAAAGAAAAATGTCTGAAAATTTTTACCTAAAATGTATACCACTTATTGGTTATTCAAAGACATTCAAAAAAAGTTTTAGTGATATATTTTAAAGCAAAACTAAATTAATTATAAGTAAATTTTAAAAACACTTACATCTGCGGTTTTTTTGCGGTTTTTGAGTAAATAAATGAACGGATTTTAATTTGGTTTATCTCTGTTCCCTACCTTCTATTGTAAGTATTTTTAATACTTGAAAAAGTATTAATCTTTTTTAAAATGCATCAACGACTCTAGACTAAGTTATGCGCAAAAAAACGCACTTTTTTTAATAATTCAATTTTTCTAATAATGTTCCACAGCCGTAAATCGCGCTCAAACTATCGACCCAATATTCTGACATCCTTACAAACAACGTCCAATAATTTTTACTTCATCTTTACATTCATCTATTTAGTGCCCTGAAAAAATGTAATCCGACTTTACTATATTACTGTTACTAAACAGTTCTTTAATAAATTTTGAAAGCGTTGGGAACTAGTTAAAAAGTATCAATCTCAACGAGATTTGTCATCTTAAATATATTATTTGTGTACAGTAATGTGGACTTTACTTGGTGGTAGTAGTAACAGAAAAACATTAATTTAGGTGCCAGTTGGAGATCAACCGCCTGATATTGAGCGACAAATTCGAGATTTGGTTGTTAAATACATCGCCAACCCCAATTCGATAATATTGGCTGTTGTTACTGCAAATACTGACATGGCAACATCAGAAAGTTTAGCCATTGCGAAAGATGTAGATCCGGATGGTAGAAGAACACTGGCAGTAGTTACAAAGCTTGATCTTATGGATGCTGGTAGGATCACTAAGCGACAAGCTTGTTCTTTTTTTTATTGAAATATGTTATATGTGAGCTACTTGAATCCGAATCATAAAAGCAAGTTTTATTATAATTATTGAACTTTTCTTCGTCATTTTAACATAATCAGAATAAATCGACTACATTTATGAATACGTGTATTAGTACATTAATTACTTCACCGATAGAAAAAATTTAAAATCATACAAACCAATTAAGCACTGATATTATTTTAAAGTTAACATCTTATAGAAAATGACCGCATATTTAAACAAGCGTTTTGCCCTTCCTGTAGGTACTGATGCAATTGATATTCTTTGCGGTAGAGTGATTCCCGTAAAATTAGGAATCATAGGTGTCGTCAATAGATCTCAACAAGATATAATGAACAATAAAAATATAAAAGACTCATTAAAAGACGAAGCGTCGTTTCTGCAAACAAAATATCCAACACTAGCGGCCAGAAATGGGACGCCGTATTTAGCCAAGACTTTGAATCGCTTATTGATGCACCATATCAGGGATTGTTTACCTGATCTTAAAGTGAGTTCACTTACTTTTTATTCTTTCTGATAGTCACTCTTTATGATTCATTGTTTCAGACAAGAGTAAATCTGATGATCTCTCAATTTCAATCTTTACTCACTTCGTATGGAGAAGACATATCAGATAAAAGCAAAACACTGTTGCAAATTATTACAAAGTTTGCATCAGCGTACTGCTCTACAATAGAAGGCACGTCAAGAAATATTGAAACGACGGAGTTGTGCGGCGGTGCTCGAATATGTTATATTTTTCACGAAACATTCGGTCGAACATTGGATTCGATTCATCCTCTGGCCGGTTTAACAAAAATGGATATTCTAACCGCTATAAGGTACGATTTTGTTACTTCTGTAGCTTTTTATATCCCTAGAGGATTGTTTGGTAAAATATTGACTGCTTTTTTTAATCTACTGTTTTTTCATCTTACATAAATTGTATAAAACTGTTGTTGTAAACCAGTTGCAACCTTAAGAAACTACGGTGGTGCATCAAATTTTAACGGGACTAATTCATTTTTAAATGTATGTTTTACTTTACAACATTTGCAAAAACATACAATATTTCTACATGATCTCCCGCTCTGGAAATAATTTTTTCCAGCGGAAAATCATCGTCCCGTCCCAAACTTCTCGGACGTTCACGCAGCCACTAAAAGCGCTGAAAGATAAATAAAACAGAAGTTCGAAATAAAGCCAGCAAGAATTTGAAGAAATAATGTTAAAACTGAAAAACAATTTAATAGTATTTCAGTAAACAGTTCACTTGGGAAGTCGGAGGATGATATAGAAAAAGCAGTCAAATTTGCAGAGCATCTAGCAAACATGTTAAATCATGTTAAAATTAAACATCAATGGAAGTAGAAGATGACAACGAAATTAATATTTATTATCAAGTGTGATTGTCTATCTAAAAAATTCGCATGAATGTAAGCTTGAAACACCACAATTGCTTAAAAGTGTTTTTGCCATTTCACTGGTTGGTTGGTGGTCACTCATTGGTTGTGCGTTTTTTACTGTCTTCTCGAATTAACGAACTTTGTCACATTTTTCAAGTACCCCCCAGAAAGTCCGCTCCAAAGAAATCACCCTGTTTATCATCTTGGGAATTGATTTTGCAGATTATCGTATATCACGGGCCATATATATTTTATTTATTCCGATTTCAATAATTTTTCTATTATAGGTGTGTCTATCTATTTTTTAGAAATGCGAATGGTCCTCGTCCTGCCCTATTTGTTCCAGAAGTATCGTTTGAATTACTGGTAAAAAGGCAAATTCGAAGATTGGAAGAACCTTCCCAAAGATGTGTGGAATTAATTCACGAGGAAATGCAACGCATAATTCAGGTATGATGAGCGAGGTTCTTAAATCCTCAGAAATGTTCACGTTTAACTTTCTGGCTTTACTGCTTATGTTATAAATTCAGTTTTCTAATACTTGATTAGCTCATTCTAAATATTATGGCCAATTGATCGTATAAACCCTTTTTGGCGGAACTAACTAGTCATTCCATTGGTATATTCCAAAGAAATAAGTTGGTGATAAAATGTAGAATAAGAAGTTCTGATTTGTTTTAGTACATTTTTGCATTATTTTATTAAGCTATTTACCAAAAACTAGACTACTGTCTAAAGTGTGTGTTTTACGTTACTTGTTGCAAGTCAAAACTTAAATGTCATCTACATTTAAATGTTATTCTTTTTTAGCATTGCGGCAATGAAGTTCAACAGGAAATGCTTCGTTTTCCGAAACTGTACGATAGTATAGTTGATGTTGTTACCCAACTGTTAAGAAGGCGTCTGCCAACCACTAACTCGATGGTTGAAAATTTGGTTGCTATCGAACTTGCATACATTAATACAAAACACCCTGACTTCTTCAAAGAAATCGCTCAAGTACCATCCATGATCAAGTCGGGAGAGCCATCAAGGCCAGCCAACAGACCCAAAAGTATGTTCGGAAAGCCCGCACATCAACAGCCTATTGAACAAAACGATTTGGTAAGTAGCAAGTGGTTTTAAATTGAAGTCATTCTGATTTAAATAACTGAAAATAAGGTTGCATTTAAATGTTCTCGGCTAAGTGAATTCTTGATAAGGCGCAATTCAAATTAATCCCAAAATTTAACGCCCGAATTAGTCAGATATGAAATTTAAAATTGTACTGAACGAGGCATATTACAAAATCTGGTCCTTGTTTCCTCCGGTTACTTTTTGTATTCGTGCCGTTCTTTGGCTTATTTAAATAAAACAGGCCCTAAAGCTCTTATTTTTCTATCAAAGAAACTTGAGATCGTCGTTGATGATGTTGTCTTAAGTTAAAAATTAATTAGGTTTTTGAAGCAGAATTAAATTCAGCAGACGATCTAACAATGATTCTTCTGCTTTTGGAACAAAATCGGAAAACGCCTGTTTTTTTATTTCATCAGCCGCAAGTTTCTTACATTTTCCTGCAAATTTTGAAACTCAACTGCTTTCCATTTTCCACTTTCATCTTGCGTTTTCAAGTTCTGTCACTCTATAATTCCGCCTTGCTTGATGAGTTTTTGTATTAGTTGATAGCAAAAAAACACGTCAACCTCAAGGCAAGCCGAGGGCGCCAACCTCAAGCAGTGGTGGAACTTCGACTTTCGTCTCTTGTACCGTAATATACTATTACATTGTTATGCTCTGGGAACGAAGAGCTGTGACAACAAGCTAATGATATATTACTAATGCGTGTTTTGATACTTTCTTTGGTACCCAGTAAAGTAAATTTATTGAGGCATTTCAATTAGTTGTGTATATAAAATGTAATTGATTATTTTCACTAGATTCCTCCGCGATCAAATGGTGATCCTTCCAGTCAAGATCCTGGTGAATTTTTTAACTATTTGTTTCGAATTTTACCGGTTTCAAGCTATAACGACTTCATGAAACACATCCAGGTATATAAAGTGTGTTGCTTTCAATTGTTTCAAAGCAATATATACATTTAAAAGTACACTTCCTGTTTGTGAATATCGACAGTGTTTGTGACTTACAATCGACGATGCTACTTGTAAACCAATTCAGTATTCACATTGACTATTYATCGTAACTGATTTYTCTTTTAAAAATTATTTCCAAKGCTTTATATTTATAGTTCACGGAAATGAGGGTGCGTTCCTTTATGAAAACTGCTTCGGCTTAATCATGCACTGGATTATTTCTCATACAATTATACCGTGAACGAGCGTAGGTTGAAACACATTAATTTGTAACTAGSTTTGATTTTTGGCATAACGCACACCCGGCCAGGTTAAGCCTCTCGTCAGCCGGGTTTATCCTGAAAATAACACTCCCGCTAGAGCTAAATTTTATTTCGCACTTTATTTCGCCCGTGTATTTTTTATCGGCGAGGAACTGAACTGCTCAACAAAATTAATGTTTAACTGGCAAGTTTGTATATCGAAGCTTCTGTTTCAAGAGTTATTTAGTTCATTTTTTTTTCGAATAGTGCGTGTTTTTGTAAAAAAATAGTTCTTCAGATAAAGTTTCTGCTGGGTGGCAAATGAAACAGTGCAAAATTGGTGGAAACAAAACATGTTTATTTGTATTTCAGCGCCACATGCATTAAATATGTTCAAAACAGTTTTAGAACTTTGTCCCATCTCGTTTATTTATAGTCGTCTAAAAAAACATTTTAGTCCTACGTCCTAAAAAAATACGTTTTTTCTGCTGAACCCATTTTCAAAATATAGGTTTTTTGTTAATATAAAACTTCACAGTCGACTTCAGAAAAAAAATTCAATATACTGCGTTACATGAATGAACTAAATAGTTTAGTGAAAGTATGCCAGAATCACAAATTTCGAGGGCAATTCTGATTTGGGTAATTTATATGCAACCTTGTACATCAAACTTTCGTCTTGCCTGTGACGTTTTAGCGTCATCTAGCTCTAGATGGTTAAAGTCTGACCAAGAGGAGAAAGTTATCCGTGCAAGATCAAAAAGTTGATGGGACCACCATGTAAATGAAAAGAGATGGTCGAAAAATTAAAAAACTTTTTTGAGCTATTTGGTTAATCTTTAAGACTTTTTGTAGTGAGATCCAGAAATCCACTTTTCTCCAACTGGGGCATACCGAACTTCGTGACATTTTGATTTTTTTTATTTATCGCCCAGTACAAAATTTATCTGAAGTGCTTACTTTTTACCAAAACATTGACGAACGAAAAACAACTAAGGCTTCAAACGGAAAACAATTCGCTTGAAGGTATCAGAATTTATCCACTTCCAAAGTAAGGGCAAATTTGACTGTGTAACGTTCATTTTGTTGAACAGTTTGGTTACTATTTCCGTCTGTCGTTTACCGGTCTTAGGGGTGCCTGCAATGAGTACTTTTTTTAAGCATATGTAACCACCTATTTTATTTTCCGTCTGTTAATTCGCATCTATTTGTAAGTAAGCTTTTATCAATTTCGCCCCGAAATCGCAAACATTTATAGATATATTAACATGCAAAGTATAGGCTTTTTTAAATTTAATTAAATATTCGAAATGTTTAAAATTAACTTCTTGGCAATAGGAAAATTATCGTAAAATCTTCAAAGAAACAAAAAGTGTTCCGCATATTTCAAAATTAAAACTTTTGCATCAGGACTTGTTACGATAGAGCTCCAATTATAGTGCTGAATTAATAAGTGTAATCCTACCATTAATCAATAAAGACTGCAATGAACTATAATTAATAGTTCATAATTATGAATAATTTTTGTTTTGTTCTAAACTTTAGATTTCAGCTAATGGACCAAGATTGGGTAATTTCTTGTAAATTCGTTAACATTTTGCAAATGTATCCATTGTCTTCAATAGCTAAGCTTGCTTTAGCATAAGATATGATACATGAAGCTTTATTGCGTGTTTTAATTTGGAATAGTGGTTCTAACTTGAACTCTGTATAAATGAATTTGCCATGTAAAAAGCACAACTTCTTGAATCTGAATTACTTTCGTACCAACCCACACGTTCTCACTGCAAATAAAAGCTGGACGGTAATTTTTAACTTGCAAATAGTTGTGAATGCTGAATTACGTTGCTACAACTGGAAGTAAATCCATTGACCATTGACCACATTTTATGTACCTGGTTTAACAAGTTTCCCCACTAATCATTCATTAAATATGTTTTCGTCGTTTTTTGATTTCAATCATTTTTATTCATTAAAGCTCGTGGATCTTTTTGATTTTTTTACTTAACGCTTTATTTGACCTTATAGATTAAACCCGCCCGTAGTAGATCCTTGTTTTCGAACATGTTGTTGCCTAACCAAGATAGACTTACCGAGGTAATAACATTTATCTACCGTAGTTTAATTGCAATTAACTAATCATTTCGATTAATCCAGTTGTTTATGGTGTAAGTGCTTATTGAACATTTACAAACTGACAAAAAATCGATAGTTGTGTCTCTTGTTCAGGCGCGCTCCAACAGCAATCCGCATCTGAATGATGATGCGACTTCATGGGTCTCAAATCTGACTACCAACCAAAACGGCATTAAGGAAAACAACGTAAATAATGATAATAGGGCGTTTGATGCACATGCCGAACACGATCTACGGTCGGTTTTAAGTCCTGATAAGCCGGTTAATTTGTTGCCTCAAGTTCCTCTAGACGGAAGAAGCTACAGGAATCTATCGGCCAATGAGGAACATGATTGTGAAATTATCGGTAAGCTACAGTCGTAACTAATTTACTAGACATTTACCTATAGGTACAACCTCTAAACTTAGAACTTGTTAAATATTTGCAACATAATTTAATTTTAAAAATAAACTAAACTTCCTTTGTACTGATATTTTTCAGATATTTCCAATCCACTTTAATGCTTTACGAATGGTGGACTAATAACTTATCTTTTATTATTATTATTATCATCGTTTTGTTTTTCAGAGCGTTTAATCAAGTCTTACTTCTATATTGTGAGAAAATCGATTCAAGACACAGTTCCAAAAGCCATTATGCATTTCCTAGTTAACTTTGTGAAGGATAATTTACAGTCTGAACTAGTTACGTGTCTGTACAAAGCTGATAATGCTGATCAACTGTTGGACGAATCGGAGCATATTGCACACCGACGCAAAGAAGCCGGCGACATGCTTAAGGTAACTTTAGTTGAATTGAACTCTGTTTTCCATAGTTCAACCAACCTAAAAAAATTTCAATATTATTTCAACTTTTTGGAGGTTCTCAAATTAAGCGTCATTTGATGGGGGTGGTATATCTGAATCTCAAATAACCAATTTGATTTCGAAATTCCATTGGCTGATTTATTTGAGTCATCGCTTTCATTACTTTATTTTAGAATTTATTATCAATTTAATTTGATTTAAATTAACTGGAAATCCGGTTTGTTCGGTTACGATTTTTTCAATTTCTATTTTAGGCCAAGATATAGATATTTAAAATCCTTTATTGTCACAAAGACTAGTAGCAAACCAATTGTGCGATCATATAAAAGATAATGAGCAGATGAATAGGCATGCGTTTTTGACTCGCATTTCCGGTCCATATGTTATTTTAACGATACGATTTTTGTCTTTTTGTTTATAACTTTCAAACTAATGGAACAATCGGAATACCCCACCGAGATGATTTGTAGAGCATATAAATATCTACAAAATAAGAGGTCGGATAATTCATTCCTGAGAAGTTTAAAAAAAAACCGGAAAATTGAGAGATATTCGAAAATTCATAGTTCCGTCATTTTTTGAGCTGGGGCGCTAAAATTTGAGCGAAAGTAGGGATTATAAAGTTCTTTATATGTGCCATTGGTCATCATATCGTGATACGAGGCATAAATTAATTGCCAATCAATCTCAAAAATTCGTTTCGAATGACCATTTCTAATGAAGAAGTTACCGACATGATCAAAGTATTACGGTTTTGCGGGCAACTTGCGTGAAAACGTACGGGTTTACGCGGCGCATAATTGCAGTTAATGTCTAACATTGTTAAGTGGCAAGAAAACAGACCTATTTTTTGGCACAAAAACTATGAATTCTACAAGATTTTACAAAGAGCTCAAAATAGTGAATAAGTGATGAGTGGTTCAACCAAAAAAATTAGTCCATCCACCAAATAAAAAGTTCTGGTAGTTCTTGTGCCACGACACTCAAGAATTCACCACTTATCGAAAACGGCTGAACTCGGTTGATTCATCAAAATATGAGTCTTACATAAGAACAAATTCACAGCGAGTTTCACCAAAATAAATCGTATCATTCACCCGATATTTCAAAAATGATACATTTTTTTCATCAATAACAGAGGAGCCAGACAGTTTTTGTTAATAAAAGTTAGGTCAGATCGTCTTCTTTTGATCCAGAGAATATCGCAGTACCCTTTTGATCATGTGCTTACGGGACACCCTGCATAGAATCTTTTCCAAGTTGAATTTGATATCGACTGAAATTCCAGGAATTTGAAACTTATGAGCATACTTTACTCATGTTACTTACCACTCCCTTCTATCTTAAAATGTATGCATTATTTTTGTGTATATATTCGTTGCGTATCTGAGAATGGATGCGTTTTTCTTCTTTCCTCCGTTGTGAAAAAATTGTTATTTAATTTTTGGATATCTTTCAGGCTTTGCAGCGCGCATCCCACATTATAAGCGAAATCAGAGAGACGCACATGTGGTAAACATGAGAACTTGTATAGTGTTGATCATGGTAGACTTCTTAGACGAAACTTAATTTGCGACTAGTTGAAATTTATTATTTGTTGCTTCGTTGCGCAACATGTTGTAACTAAATTGCATGTATTTTGCTATATTTTTCACAGGTGGTAATCAAGTTTTGTTTATTTATTAATAAATATTTTGAATCTGATGTAGCTCACATTTTATTTTCCCATTCCATGAAACTCAGATCCTTATTATTCAAAAAGGCCCCAATTTCTTATATTAGGTTGCGTTTGAAATGGTTACATAATTGAATACCGCATTTCACATTTAACGGCACTGATTGAATTGAATCAAAAGCAATGGAAGAAAACGATTAGGTTCTAGTTCAATTGGTTTTCCTTCGATCTGCTCTATGTTTGTAATAAGCAGCTAAAATCTTTGATTGCTTTTAGTTTATTCATGCTTAAGTACAATTTGAGCACAAGGCGTTTTCTGTTTTTATCTGGGTAACCATTAAGCTAAAAAAAAATCAGATACGTTCTTTAGAAAAACTTTTCAAAACTAAGTTTTTTGTGTACTTTACAAGTGTGTGTTTACCGCATGTTATTATTTATTACCAGTTTTCCGTTACTAATCAGGTTTCTGAAAAAGATTTGTTCTATTCTATTAATTGTTTGAAAATAACCTTTAACCCAGTCAACGCGTTTAAACTGAAGTCAATAAACTAAACCTATAGTATTTCTGTAAATTTTTGCTATAAACCTTCTACTATGTATGGTGATATTAACTTCTGTATTAAAATAATGCCGATAAAATTATTTATGAATTTACATTTTTTGCTTGGACTGTTTTTGTACAGCTTTCTGGATCAATAAATTTAATTATCAGAAAACTAAGTTTCTTTTAGATAATATTTCAAGTTATTTTTGGAAATTTAAAAATTTGCATTAACATAAATTTTGTTGTTTACCTGTGTAGCTACAGAAAATGTTGAGTTTTACTCAGGTCTTTTATTACTTATTGATAAAGAGTGCATTTATTACACAATAAAGAATTAATTCTTTATCAAAAGTTTTTAATTCTTGATTTTTTTACTTTTCTAAATCAGAAAATTTCTAAAATATATTTTTTGATATGGATTACTTTTTGATAAATAATTCGTTGTTTATAGTGACATAAGAGCACTTTTTATTGATCCGGAATATGAAATTGAAGGAAATTATGTACAAAAATTGTTGACGCAAAATAACTAACAAAAAACGATTTAATCTTATTGACATATTTTAATCAATTGAATAGAAGCTTTTAACTGTGACTATCTAATCGTTGTCTAGTTATATTTGTTTATTGTAAAAGTATAAAATTATATATTATATTTTCAGGGACAGTATCACTTTAGGCCTAGTCTGATAGTTAGAAAATTGCTAATATGTATTTCAAAATATTCCTTAAAATATAAAATTCTGTTTTCATAAAACAATAAAAAATTTCATTTAAAAATATAATAAAAAAAAAATTAAATATTTATCAAAATCATCGATTGACCAATCTGATAATTCTTGATTAAAAAGATTTGGTTTCATTTTTTGAAGTTTTATTTTTGTGTAAAGTTTGGAGGGTTTCCTAAAGAATTAAATTAAATATTTTATGAAAACAGAATTTTATATTTTAAGGAATATTTTGAAATACATATTAGCAATTTTCTAACTATTAGACTAGGCTTAAAGTAATAACCGTCCCTGAAAATATAATATATAATTTTATACTTTTACAATAAACAAATATAACTAGACAACGATTAGATAGTCACAGTTAAAAGCTTCAATTCAATTGATTAAAATATGTCAATAAGATAAAATCGTTTTTTTTTTAGCTATCTGCGCCAACAATTTTTGTACATAATTTCTTTACATTTCATATTCCGGATCAATAAAAAGTGCTCTTATGTCACTGTAAACAACGAATTATTTATCAAAAAGTAATCCATTTCTAAAAATAAATTTTAGAAAAGTAAAAAATCAAGCATTAAAAAACTTTTGATAAAGAATTCATTCTTTGTTGTGTAATTAATGCACTCTTTATCAATCAGTAATAAAAGATTAATATATATTAAATATAAAAATTACATATAATATATAATCGGTTTATTGGTCGCTGTAGACCAGCCGTAGTTGAAACGAGTGGAATGAATTGGCAACATCGAATAAACCATGGTAAATATCGTTGTGTTGGCAACATTATATGTAACATGGCTTTAAAAATGTCAGCGTGCACTCATATGATTGCAAGGAATAGTGAGCCTCTATATAGAGTAGACTGTAAAGGAATATCAAATCTGATTAATTCCGGTAATTTGTTTGTAAATTCGGCGCATACCATCTGGAAAAAGTTGGTATTTTAATGTGAAAGTGTTTAAGCAGTTTCTAACTGAATTAGGTATGTATTAGATTCGTGAGTTTTCAACTGTTAGTGTAGAGACTATGGTTTGGATCCTGCACTCTTAGGTCTTATGTTCAAAGCCTGGAACCTCCACTTTTTTACATGTGTTTGAGTTAGTGGAAATTGATTAGCTTTAGATATTTGAATGGGGTAGAAGATTTTGTATGAATTATCTGGGGCTGATTGTTGAGGTCAGTTTTGACAGTCAATTGTTCAAATTCAGCACTATTAAAAATAAGTAATTATTAAAATTTCGAAAAATGTGCCGGCACTTTATCTATTTGAAACCGCATAGGTGCTCTAATGTCTAACGGAATGTCTTCTAATAACTTTAGAAGCTGATGGAAAGAGCTCTCCGTTCAAATGCGCTAACCATCGTTACTGATTTTAGATGACTCTAAATTGGGGCCGACACAATACGAAAAATCGGTGGGTAAAGCTTTTTATACTGTCACACTGTGCTTGCTTGTGTTACAACGAAAAGCCCGTTCTCGTTTCAAACATTTTCGGTGCCGTAATTTTTTTCTAAAACTCACACACAAAATACTCAACGCCTTTTTCAAAATCGTTATGAGAAAGTTCTCGATTAAGCTGTATTTTGTATCAATGTCAGTTGTTTGGATTGTCGTTTATTCTAGCAATTTGTTGTCGCCTTATTTGTGTGTTTTTGGCCATAAGTCTTAATTTTATAGTCTGGCAACATAATTTCTTCTCAAAGGTTTTCCATATGCAACACTCCCATTTGAAATAAGCGTAATTTGAGCTAACTAAATATGTCTTTTAAAAGACTGATTTATTGGGCTGACTTCTGTTAGGAAATCTTTCAGTGTACATTCTACCAGAATAAAAAGAATGGTAATTGTCTAGGTGATCAGCTACTCACATACCCATCACATCACCCGATCATCTTACAAGAAATTCCTGTACCGACAACTTTTGTTGGTCGTGTTTTTTGCGGAAGTGCGGCTTTCGATCTCTTTTCACTCATTGAAATTTACTACTTTTCCATAAGATAACGCCGTCATAGCTCACACTTTTCCATTCAATCCTGCATCAGTCGCAGGATCGTTTCGACCAGCTTCATTTGGATCGCGTACTAAGTTCCCGTTTTTCGCATTTGAGGATGAAACCACCGATTCAATTGTTCTGTTGTAACTACGTAATAGTTCTGCTAAATGAGAGTCATTCTGAAAATTTGTTGTTGTACACTCAAGCGCTGCATCTTGGCCGTATAACGAATAAATTCTGTTTTCGTTGAAACATTTCTCTTTGAATCAAGTCTTGGTCGCTTTGGAGGATGGTTCAACTTCCCTGTTCGCGAAAGCTTTTTTTTAGCTCGAAGTCGTGCTCGGTATCCTGGAATGGGCGATTCTGGTTATAAGGGTTTCGTATTCCATAAATCGCGATCAAGAGTTGTAGATTTAGATGTCATTCTTGTCATTTTACTGTCAATGGAACTGTTATTTAAGGTGCTTTAAGTCAGTTGCTGCTTCTCAGATATTTGTGTTATTTCCAGTCATTTTAGGACGATTAGTTTCTAAATCTGTCAATAATTGGTTGCAGGCAATTAAATTCTTTGATTGCTACTTCGTAATTTGGTTGGTTTTTTCAAGGATAAAATCGACGACACCGTCGAGTACCGATATTTGGAAGATACTTGATTTAATATCGAAATTTCGTTTTTTTTTATTGGTAGAATGGATCGCAAGTCTCCCGTATTTTACACATATTATGTTTAACTTCTTCGTATTTTGAACGTTTTGGAATTAAATCCTTGCTGCTTCTATTATGACAAAACGCTGAACCGTTGGGTTAATGTTTTAACTGTTTTTGTAGTATCGGACAGTTATATTTCGACTTCATTTATTAGCTTTATTCGCGGTAGCGATTTAGGATCGGTTTAGAACCGATAACATATCAAATTAGGGCTCAGGCTCGGTTCAGGATCTGTTCAGAACCGATCCTTGATTCCTTCGTTCCTAGAACGCTTTTAGAACCTTTCAGTAGTACCAACAGGATTTTAGTTACTTTGTGCCTAATAGTACTTTCCCTAAACTGAAATACAATGGAGTGAAAGTGGAAAGACGGAATTGCTGTGTTTTTTATGATAATGGTTTGTGGCAGTTTTTGATTATTTTGAATAAAAAAATTATTGAGGTTTTTTATCGCATTTAATTAATTGAGGTGAAAAATTGCTAACATATGTAGGCAATTCCAAGTTTATTTTTACATTGGCGTTCTGATCAAAATTAGTTAATTAAATGCGATATAAACATAAAAAAACTTAATAATTCTTGAACTTAATAGTGATTTACAAATAATTATACAATAAAACATTTTTTTTTTTTGATTTTTTTTTGGTCACTTATCAAGTCACTTATGAAATCGTGAAAATCAATCGATCGAAGTAAATCACTTTCAATGCTTGACCTTAAGCTAACCGCTAACCAATGGAGCGATAGTTGAAAATAGAAAAAAAAATATTTTCGTTTTTTTAAAAGACGACGTCGTTTCAACTTTGTCCGGACGCGGGTGAAATTTGTGAGAAGATCGAAAAACTAGGATTAGGTTTTTAAGGATTAAACTTTGATTTAGGAAAAGGAATGCAATGTTGGTGCACCCATTGTACCACCAGCCGACTAAAAGTAGCCCGCGTACAAAACAGTCCAGTCTCTCTTAACAAATAAAAAAATAATGATGCCGATGCGAACTCTATGGTTTGATTGTTCTGCGCTTGTGAGAACCACCTGGGTCCTTTCTTTAATCCTAGAATTGCTAGAACCGTTAACGAACGGGTTCTGAACCAGTTCTTACTGTACCTCGAACATAGAACTTCGGTTCAAAACTAGCAATTTTTTTACCGCGATCACCCAATGCCGCTACGCGCATGCTATCAGTTCCGAACCAGTTCTGAATCGTTACCGCGAATAAAGCTACTAGGATTCAGTTTACGAATATTTCAACATCTCGAACATTTCTTTTGTAACAGTATAGGGTGTGGCAGTTTTTAAAACCATTCAAATATTTTTTCGTTGCTTGCAAACCAATCTAGAAGTATTTTAATGATTTTGATATCTATCTGATTTTTTTCAGTTAAAATGACTGATTCTCAAGATATGGCACGAGTAGTACCAGATTCAGCTACTCAGGTTGACGAACTCTGTCCTTCAACTACTGCTGCAGCACTCCATTGCAAATCTGGTAAGCAACCAATGAATGATATAAAGCAAGCAGTTCAGACCTCGATAATCAGCGCTAGAGGCCTCACCGAGCCAGCATGTCTCATTCCTTCAGCCGTGACTTCAATGGACATTTCTAGTAATGAATTTGGTAGTTTAGTTGAGACAAAAAAAACGCAACAGCTGGCATGTGATGTAAAGGCTGAAGATCTAGGGATCACCGGGAAAGGAAATATTTCAAGGAAAAATTGTAAACCATTCCAAATGAAGAGGGATCCTGTTAATGCATCTGAGACTAAATCCGTTCCTCTGGATAACCACTCACTTGACGCTTCAGAAATCAGTAATTTGGACCGAGAAAAGTCTGAGACTATATTTCACATGACAATGGACGTTGGCGGATTTAGGATTGAAGTAAACGAAGTCGAAATAGAGCCGTCCGATACTCAAAAAAACACTCGGAACATTTTCGAAGCAGCTTCGAATAACCCATCGGTTCAACATTCAGTCGTAATACAAGTGGCAGAGGATTTAATTCCAAAACGTCCAAAAGGTGAAGACGTTAAACGTAATATGCGTAACATCCTGGAGACCGGCGATCCATTATACCCATTTAAAAAACGGAATATCGATATTAAATCCAGCATCTTCCACGCACCGGTACCGGTACACGAAGAGGAATGTGATCATGATTTCTGTGATCTAAATCATTCCGAAAACATTGCAACGCTTAGTAAACTAGACGCACACTTAGGAAGTAATAATAAACAAGTCCCTAGAAAAACTCGGCCTAAGATGGCTAGAAATTACACAAATATTTCATTAGCAGTGAATGATTACAGCAGTATCAATTGTAGTGCCATTGACTATAAAATGACATCTAAACCTACAACTATTGATCTAGATCTATCGAAAACGAAATCATTATTACCAGAATCGCCTATACCAGGCCATCGGGCACGACTACGAGCTCAAAAAGAACTTGCTCAAAAAAAAGCTCTGGAGAACCTGGAAGAGTCGAACCATCCCGCAAAGCGACCAAGACTTGATTCAAAGAGAAATCCTTCAGAGAAAACAGAGTTTATTTGTTCTAAAGCCAAGATGCAAGGCTTGAGTGTAAAATCAAAACATCTTGATAAAGATCCTCATTTAGCAGAACGATTACTTAGTTACGCCAGGACAATTGAATCGGTGGTTTCATCATCAATTGCTGAAAATCCCAATGAAGTAGGTCCAGAGGATTCAAATCGCCTCGATGATCAAGCGGCTGAATTCGCGGACTGTTCCAGAAAGGCGACGGAAGTAGTCAAGATGGAATAGAACAATAGCGGCAAGAGTTTTTTGGAAGAAACTTGTTTGAAAAGAATCTTAAATTGCTGTAAGGAAATGTCCTCAGTGAAGCAGGAGTTATTAGTAACAATAAGCGTAGAGTCGGACTGGAAAAACCAGTTAGAAGCTGGAAAGCATCAATTAACTTACTTATTCAGACAAAAAATTATGATATTTTTATAACAGAATCTCATTCTTTAGTGTTTAAACTGATATCTTTTCTGTGAGAAAATTTACGTGACTCAGATTAGTACAATAAAACGGGAATACTTTGCGCTAGTTTTTGATCTTTAGAAGTGTATTAATCCGTAGAAGCTCTGGATGTTCTTTGAATTCTTAAAATAAAATTGACTAATTTACCGACATTTATTTTACTACGTTCGTTTTTTTATCGCTAAAAGTATATCCCGTTATGGGTATCGGCATCGGCTGTATCTCTTTTTTTTCTCCCATTAGACTATCGCTGGTGTAAAGTTAGACTGGACCGATTATTATATATATTTATTTTAAATAAACCGAACTTAAACGACTGCGTGACTGCTGAATAATTTTATATATTTTATATTCAGGTTTTTAATAATTTAATACACATTAACAAGCTGTGTTTTATGTCAGATACAAAAGATCTGTCAAGTGAAATTCGTGAATATATTAAATTTAAAAGATTCAGATCTGTGGGTTCTTTTGAAAGATTCAGATCACTGCCGGCTAGTTCCGATACGTCCATTGCTACCTATTGATGATTCATATATCCAAAATTTGTAAACGTACTTGTATTTGTTATGCAATATAAATATCACCTATTCACCGTACTTGAAGAAATTGATAATGTAATAATAAATAATTTTCGGTTAATTGATTTTAAATTATTCTGTAACTATAGATGCTTTAAATTAGTGTGTTGGCTGTAAATTACTTTATTTCCAATAGGAATACAATAGTGTTATATTAAAAGAGCCGAATCTAAGTTTAATTTGATAGTAGACATGCTGGAAATTGGTGAGGTAATGAACCGTGCTATGTGCGATTTAGATATATTTAGTATTTTATTATATCGTGGGTTTAAAGCTAAAAATGATCAAGTCCAAAATTGCCGTATTTGTGTTTGTTGACCAAGTAATTAAAAAAAATATATATTTGTCTTTATTTATCTATTTATTATATCTATGTGTCAAAAACCGACAAAGTCCCTCAAGGCCACACAAACAGGTGCACTAAAATATGACCACGTTTCCAAAAGGATTCTGATATAATTTTTGGCTCGGTTTAAAAGTGCATTTACCAAAAATTGATATTTTAGATTTTGGTGTCAGTTTTAGCTTTAAGCCTACGATATAATGATGTTTTACTTTCCAGTGATTAAGTGAGAATGTAATTTATTTATATGTCCATATTGTATACAGGGTGACCCCTAATCACCTAATCAAAAGGGTACTGCTACATTCTTTGGCTCAAAAGAAGACGATCTGACCTACCTTTTATTGAGAAAAAATGTCTGGTTTAAAAAAAAACATTTTTTTTTAAATATCGACAGAATGACACGAGGGATTTTAATGAAACTGCTTTGAACTTATCCTTATATATAACTCATATTTTGATGAAACAATCGAGTTCACCCGTTTAGGACAAGTAGTCTGCGTCCCTGATGAATTTGTTAATGCAGAAAATTTATTCATGTAGAAAACTTTTTAATTGTTAAGAAAACAAATATTTTTTTGCGCAACAACTATGAATGGTACAAAATTTTACAAAAAGCACGAAAAGGTCAAAAAGTTATTGTGACAAAAGTGATTGTGAGTACATCAACTAAAAAAAAACCAGTTGGTTCCAGCTCACAAATAAAAAAATCTGGTAGGTTTTGTACTGAGACACTCAAAAATTCGCAAACCATAAAATCACAATATGAGTCTTGCATAAGACATATTCAGAGCGAGTTTTATTAAAATCCACCATATCATTCCGACGATTATTTCAAAAAACACAATTTTTGTTGGAGAACTTTGACCATCAATAGCAGGGAGCCAACATTTTTTTTCTTAAAAAAAGTTAGTCTAGTCTTCTTTGTTGAATATTGTTGCAGGCCTCTAAATTCCAGCACTGTTATTAACTTTCATGCATGCGCAAAGTATAAGAGCTTTACGTGTTAATTGAATTGTACAATGTATAAATACCGATTAATAAATTTGTTAGTGTTATTCAGTGGTGGAGTATTATTTTAAACGCAGTTAGTTTAACAATTACCCTGGGGAATAGGACATTATTAGCAATAAGTTTTATAATCCGAAACAAGGCCATATTTGAATCACAAACGCATATGCAGTGCAGCAAATATTAAATTCAAATCTTTATTAAATAAATAAACGGAAACAATTATCATAATTTTTGCAAAATGAATTCTGATTTTCTGTACCTTTTGAGACAAATTTGTTTTAAAGATATTCTTTGCTCAGGTTGACAGATTCTAGAATATGAAAAACCAATTTTAAATACACAGTGCACGTAACAAAAATCACAATTACTAAGCATATTGTAAAGAATTTCCATTTTTTCACATTTTGTAACTGAGCAATTAAAATATTAAAATTATAACAATATTTTAATATTGGTAGACTAAAGCAGTAGTACTGAAGACTAAATAGACTTGTGTTTAGTTACTTTTTGGCTTTATAGTATTTTCTTTCCTGGAACTTCACTTATTTATTCTTACATACTGTGACTTGAAGCGTACATAGTTTGTAGTCTCCATAAGTTTTCTTCATATTTTCAATTATTGTTCATGCTACATAGCCTAATGTGCTATTGGTACGGGAAGTTCACACTTTAAATATGTGTAGCAAGCAAGTGTTAATAGTGTCCAGTGTTTAGTTGAAGATTGGCATTTTGCCATTCAGTTCACACCATTAAATTTTTAATGCAGTTTTCACATTTTATTTGTATAAAAACTTAATAGGTGATTTTCATATAAACACTTACTTATTTCACTTACTTAATTCAGTAATTTATTATTTTATTAACTTCTAGCAATGAACGAATCTACAGACAATGCGGTATATTTAAAGAGTGAGCAACTTAAACCGGAAACTGTAAATAAAAACAATACTAACAATTCGTCCATTGGCAATGGCTCACCAAAAAATAAATCAGCTGAAAATTCTAAGGGGTCCGATGCTCAAGCATGTGTTAATAGTAATGGCCCAAAGAGAAAACGAGGCAGACCTCCAAAAATTAAAAACAATACAGTTGACTCCTCTATGTCCATGTCGTCGGAATCGCAGCCAGCATCAGTTAACCAAAGGAAGCGGCGATCAACGAAAAACACATCAAAATTCATTTTCAGCGACTCTGATGATGATGATGATATGCTGGAGAAAAAATCTAAATGTAAGAAATTAAAAATGGAAGACAATGTATCTAACGACGGAGCTGTTGAAGATGAAAATAAACAAAGTTTAACAAAAACCGCTAAGGAAAATCAAAGCGAAGAAGGAGATAAAAATCACACTGTAGATCAGAGCAATGGTATAGGAAAAGAGGTACCAAAGAAAAAACGTGCTGGATCAGGATATACAGCTCTTGCCATAAACCACATATTTCAAACATTAGCGGGCTCGACTCAAGCAGATTCAAGGTAAGTTAATTTATTTCTTCAATTGGACAACAAATGTATTATAATCTTATAAAAAAAAAATTGCAGCGGTAGCTCGCAGGTCGTAATTGAAGGGAAGATAGGCAGGCCGAAAATTAAGTAAGTGTAAATACGGTATTTAAATGTTGTGTATAACATATATATAATTATTATTTTTTAGTAATGATTCATTACTCGATGAAAATGGAGAGTCTATTTGCATGGTTTGTAATGAAACAATTGTTAATACAAATTGGCTGAAGCACAAGAGAAAAGTACACTACAACTTAACGTGGAGACAAGGAGAAACACCAATGGTACGTTTAGAAATACATATATCAAATAAAAAGCAAATTTTTCTTACTACATTCGCAAATTCCTTTTTTGTTTTTAATAAACGTCTAATTAATTTACATATTTAACTTTTTTCTCTATCTTCACTATATTTTTATATAATAATATCTGGTCTGTCTTTTCCTTTGAATAATATATTTTCTTTGTAGGAATACGAAAATGTTTTTTTCAATATAAAATACTTTAATTAAATTATAATTTTTTATTGGATCTCTGCAGTGCTTATGAATCAGTCGCCCCCGGTGCAAATCACAATTAAATTAAACGCTTTAAGAGATCCTTGCTTGTAAAAAGTCTTTTGCAAATTTCTTTATTTTTATACTGTTATTACGTAACTTTTTATATTGTATACATATAAAAAATTGGTATGTTTTAAAAGCTTGTTTTTAAACGACTGTGAGTGTGCAAACCAATTTTGAAGTTCAACACATTATGAAAGTTGTTCATTGGTTGAAACACCCTGAATACCAGTAATATTAACTTTGATTCCAGTTAACTTTTGCTGTGCTCTCTAAACCAACTTATGCGTGGTTCATATATAATTTATTCAAAATTTAGTTAAGCAGCAATTACTCTATTTTAGGATATTTTAAATACTCAAGTGATCCAGAAGGTTCTTACTCAACTTCGTAAAGAACAAGGATATTTAAAATGCAACAAATGTGGATCTCAACCCGGCGGAGTTAAGGCATTTATGACCCACTTAGAGAAATGTCACGGAATCGTAAGTGAAACTGGTCTGGTTATATGCGCAGTATGCAAAGTTGAAATGCCGAAAGATGATTGGTCAAAGCACAAGTACAAGGAGCACAATAATCTGACTTGGAGAGAAGGTGAAACACCTTTGGTAAAAAGATACGTTGTGAATATCTAGAGCACTATTTTTAAATTTGTATACGGCATTGCAGAATCTTCAAGATCAGAATTTAGTGACGCGAATCCTAGGGCAATTATGCAAATTGAAGAAACCATTACATTGCGAAACATGCAAACAACAAAAGAAATCTGTATTGGGGTATCTGTCGCATAAAAGCATTTGCCAATTAAATGGTTTAGAAGCAGAGAGCATTAAAGCGGAATGCAAGCTGTGCGGAAAGAAAATGATGCCCGTTAGTCTTAGTTGGCATATGAAGACTCATACTAATGAGACTACACGCGAAGAACCACAAAAATCCGACTATTTCAAAGTTGAAACGCCTACCAACAAGAGACGGGCTGCTACAGAGTAAGTTGTTTTTTTACATGCCTAACTATGAGGAATCAAATTAAGCTCTCTCCAGTTTTTATACATATAAATAACATCATACATATTAATAATAAAAGACATATAATGGTATAAATACATGAATCAGTGTGAAATGTATTTATTTATTTTTTTAATGCAAAATAGCCAATTTGTTGATAATTAATGTACAGAACATGTAATGTTAAACAAATTACGTTTTGTTTTACAATGTTCGTTTGAGGTAATGCGAAATGAAAACGCGAAACTAATGTTTTATTTTTGATATAATCATGTAAATTTCGCGATTTGTATACCTGTTCATTTGTAAATACATAGCTTTTTAAAGTTGTTGAGGGAAGGAAAAAGACAAGTGATGTTTATTTCTATTTCTTTGAAGCACCTATAAAGCGATTACAGTAATTTCTTAATTGATTCATTTAATTTTCTATTCCAGCGCTGCTCGTTATATTCGGTCAATCAAGGGTGAGTCCATCATCAGCTCAAAGGTAAATTTATCTTTTTAATAATTTTGCGAAAATTATATTTATTTTTAAGTTTACAGCACAAAAGTATTTCTGATTTTAACATGGTTTGGAAAAAGAAAAAAGTTCAACTAAACTATTTTGAATCGATTGTCGTTGAGTCCAACTTATTCGTTGTAGATTATAAGTGTTGTGATAAAAAGTGTTAAATATATTTTATAAAAATGTAATTTAAGTTGCTTTAGCTCCAATGTTTGCTGGTATATTAATTTTGCAAGTATTTTTGCTTTAAATTCATTGTATATAAACGCGAAAAAAACTTTCTTTCATCATTAATTAAAACTGTTAAACAAAATTCCGTTTCCACTTTCAGTACTACGTTAGTGAGTGTGATTTTCAAGATCAGTTCGTTATCAGCAAGCTCAAGAAAATTGCGGCAGCATCTCCCGAATTGGATTGCATCTTTAACGACTGTTCATTTAAAACTGATTCAGTTAACACTATGGGAGATCACTTGAACAATTGCTCTAAAAAACCCGAACAGGTAATATAGGTATTAATTAATCGCACACCGAGATCATTTATTTGGTACGTTTTCTTAGTACATTGTCTGTAAGCTGTGCTTGTTTTGGGCTGAAGACGAAACGTCGGTAAAAGATCACCTGAAAATGGTGCATAATCGAAGTGCTGATGTTAAGGATGCTGAGTTTGGAGAACGCCTAGAAGAATCCGGTTCTGAAGCCGATGAACTCATGGAGGAAATCGATGTTCAGAAAAAGAAGCTTAACCGTAAGGCTAAAGGTGCTTTAACGCAAGGGACAAATTCCAAAGGTATTATAGTTTATTATAAATAAACATGTATTATTCGAAGCTATATTTTAATTTTTATATCTGCAGTCAAACCAATGTTCTTGATGCATCCTATTAGAGAAGATCGCAAGCTGTTAGTATATGCACAGGCATACCCCTGGATGCTGAGTTTGTAAGTAGCAAGTTTCAACTTTAAAAGCGATTTTTTTTCCAAAATCCGTTACAGCACACGAACTGCAAAATACAATTTCAAGCCACGTTCAATGAATTTATTTCAAATAATATAAAGTTCAGTGGCAGCTTAGTTAAACATTTCAAAATGATATAACCAGGATTCAAACTTGTGCAAACTCGTAGTTGAAATATTGTCTTTATTCTGTACTTTTTATATTTTATTTTAGCTGTAAAAAATACTATACCAACTCGTCTTTATTCGACTGCTTTCGAAACCGTGAATCGTGGCAAGTATTGGACTGTGATATTTTAATTAAGTATTTGCCAAGAATTCATGAATCCTGTGATATTACCGTGAAAACGCTTAAAGCGGCTGAGAGTACTAATATTAAAGCTGATGCTTCATTTACAAAATTGGGCCTGTTCGAACATCGCAACTTTTATGATGGTGAGTATTTCCATACATCTTCCCATTTTCAGTCCCGTTAACAGCCTAATGCGGGTTAGTTAACGATTCAAGATGAAATAATTGTTCACATTTTCAAATTTGGGTTTTAAATGGAAGCTTTTCATTAGGTGAAGCTACTTTATACTGTGGTGGTCCCGTTTCAAACCTGGCTTGGTTGCCAACACCATTCAATGAAGAAAGTCATGATCAAATTTTAGCAGTTTCAGTCTTTAATGATGGAAATGCAGATTATTCTGTAGATCGTATCTATAATGAACCACACATTATCCAGTTTTGGAAAATCGAAAATTTGGACTTCAATGAGGTAAGGTAATGACAACCATTCAATTTTTCCATTAGCTTCCAAGGAACCTCAAACTAGTTTGCCTCAAACTAGTAGTTAGTTTTAAATTGAATCTTGACACTTTTTAGAAATCTAAAATTGCTTCTACCTTTTTATTTGGCTTGGCCGTAAATGCGGGTCCAATTTGGCACATGGAGTGGTGCCCATCAGGATGTTTGGATACTTCAGAAGGAAGTACTGGTAGAAGATTGGGCTTGTTAGCTGTAGCAACAGCAGATTACTTTGTAGATATTTATTGTGTAGATGATTTAAAGAACGAGAGCGACCGGTAAGAATAATTTTATAATTTTTAAAATTTTGCAAAAGACGAAAACAGTTAAAACTCCACAACCTGTTACTGTTCAATATGTATTTATTATTGAATTAATTGTATTTAAAATCATTAAAAAATCATTATCCACGTTCTAATTTTCTTCTAAAAAACACCTAAATGAAAACAGTGTGTATTTATTGTAGAGGTTTAGTCTATTCACAAAAACCTGTGGCAAAACTGCAACTTGAAGATGAAAAAGCACCAAACGGACTTCCCTACTATGCGACCAAAATATCATGGACAAAGGTAACTCTTAAGATAGACGGAGTAGAACTAGATAATAAAATTATACCTTTTTAGGCCAATGGACATAGATATATTGCGGTAGGATATTCAAACGGTATGATCGCTCTATATGATTTGAATTCAACCTCATCCTTACTGCGTAGACAAGATCAGGATGATGTTACCGTAATTTTATCTTCTCAAACGTTCCATGGACACGTCTCATGCATAATAGGTAAATAATGGGTGACTCAACTAATGTGACAAAATTCGCTGATATATTATTTACGAATTTTTGTAATAATCTGGTTCTTGAGCCTAAATATATTGAAATTTTATCGTGTGTCTTTCAGGGCTGACTTTGTCTCATTACGATAATGGAAATCGTTTCTGCTTTTCAACAAGCTTAGACAAAGTTTGCATATATTGGGATTTATCTAATAATACCAAAGTATCATGTAGCCGTAAGTTTGGAATCGCTGATGGACAGTGGCTTACGCAGTGGCCAGCTTGTTTAATTGCTGAAGACGAATCCACATTTAACGATAAATGTAAGCCAAATAATGTACATTAAATCTAAATTGTTTTATTGAATTAAATTAATTTTGTTGTAATTCTACCAGATTTGGCGCAGACCTTAGTTAAACCTATAAGAGGCATTATGTCTGGTGAATATTGGACCAGATATACGTTTTCGCAATCCGGCATCAAGTCCGTTTCGTTCAGTGATTGGCTCAATTTAATTTTGCATGGAGGGAACGCTGGCGATGTAATGGGGCTGTTTGCTCATCGCCTCTTTTTCAACATAGACAGCAAGCATTTTAAAAAATGCTACGTAAAATGTGTAAGTGATACGAAACTCAAATCTTGTGAAGTAACTTTTCTCATACATTTATTAATAGAAAAAGAACATGAAGAGCACATTTAAAATTGTTACCACAGAGTTTTGTTTCAGCTTTTTTCTACATCTAAACTAGTTAAGAAAGACAATTCTTCAAGTGATAGTTCTGATGTTGCAACATACGGTCAAGCTGCGGCTCATTATGGTCTTGCATTTCTGGACTATAATTCGGTAAGTTTTAGGTGTTTAGCGATTGTTTTTTAAATTTCCATACGTTTTCTACCTGTTCAATCTATTAGTTACCTTGTTTCACATTCAAATAAACTGTTAGTGCTCTTTTCAAAATGAGAAAAAAATAATCATTTCTAATTTCAGTGACATTTCACTGATTTTTTTTTAAATTTTAATCTTACATTTATAAAAGCTACAATTATTTAAAAATCAATGAAATCATAGTTTAAAGTTTAAATAATTGATATTTCAGTTTGTTATTCCAAATTAATATTGCACTATTCTCTCCTACCTACTTGGTGCAAATAATCCTTATAAAAACTTAAATTTATTTCTAGGGTAAACTAACCGAAATTCCAAATTCTAATACTAATGATGTCAAGCGTGTGAAAGTGAGCCAGTATAATATCCACGACTATCCGTTGCAGGCTGTAACTAAGGTAGCTCTCAATCCAAATTTGCAGTATAATAAAATGTATGCTACTGGCCACCAAGCTGGTTTTGTTAGAATTCGAAGCATGACATTTGTTAAAAATAATTTAATGTCTAACACGTTTACGGAATTTAATTTATCTGAAAGCCTTTGAGAAGCAGTTTGTTCGCTTATGTATGAGTTAATACTTGACAATTACGGTAAATGTCTACCTTAATTTTATGCATGTGTTTTAATTGTAATTTATTAAAATTTAATTTACAGACTCCAATTATATTGTTACCTTGATTATTAAAAGTCTATAAATGTCTTCTACTGCGTATACGATCCTGGCGTACAAATTATGTGTTTGTTACATATGTTTACTCGCACCTCATTGTGTGCCTTCGACTTACTAATCGGTAGGAATCGGAATTCATGATTTACAGTGTTATTTAATAGATGTAACATTTATTCTTGACGGTTTGAAATTGAAAAAATATTGTTATTATTATAATAAATTAGTTTTTAAATTAAATAAAAATTGAATATTGTATTCTGAACATAATGTAATTTTTTATTTGCAACATATGATTAAATAACGAAGTCACTCTTTCTGATATCAGTTAACATCATTTAGATTATTTTATTTAGCTATAATTAATATGTCTGACAAAACATTATTTTCTTAAAAACCAAAAAACATGTAAATGCGTAAGAACCCGCAAGTAGAAAAGTAGTAAGAACAGCTCTTTAGGAATAATAAAAGTTGAACAGAAAACTACGGACTATCTGTAATTTCAATTACAATATTTTCATCTTTGATTTTAATACCTGTGATATCGAGTATTTCGGGTGGAAATGAGGTCTCGTTCTTCCCACAAATACTGATAAGTTTTGCTTGAAGTTCACTAATATGCTTTTGCAATGAGGATATTTGCCTGGTCATTTTTTCTGTTTCTTCCACCAGTTTAATGTTTGTTTGCTTCTCTTGACATAATATATTGTTGATGTTGGTCAAAATCTCGTTTTTACTCTGCACTTTTTTATTGTAGTGTTTGCTCATTTTTTTATACTAGAAATTATGTTTTCAAAATGAATATGTTCCGTCTTACTATATGCGAGATTATACAGCGTTTTAGGACAATGCGTTACGAAATGTTTAAGGATGATTCTACTTACTAAAATAATGGTAGTAAGTCATGTAAGAAAAATTGGAGATCTGAATATTTTCCGAGTTACAGCTCATCAAACTTCATTTTTTCTTTTCATTTTTGGCATATTCTGGACCTTTCTTTGCGGATCAAATTGAAAATGTGTACAGAGTTTCAGCCAAGGGATCTATAACTTTCTGATGAAAAATGCCACTTTACTGGAAATCTAAATTTAATTTTTCGCATATCTTTTTTGGCACGCCAAATATCGTAAAAGGTAAAGTGCGATTTTAAAGCCTAGAAAATACTAGACTAAAAAGGTGCCGTTTGTAATATTTGGAGTGTCAAAAAAGTTATGCGGAAAATGAAATGTCTGATGAAAAAAGTTTGATGAGCTGTAACTCAGAAAATATTCAAATTTTCAATTTTGGTTACATGACTACCATTATTTTTGCATGTGAAATCACCCATAAGAAATTCCTAATTCTTTATTCGAACACCCTGTATATATTTTTCATTTAAACGATCACATAAATTGTCGACAAACTGTACTTATTTGCCACATAAATACCTTTAAAGCTATTTAAAGCATATTAAAATGTATTCGCATCATATTTCAATAATTTCCGTTACTAAACTCACCTGTGTTAGAATAATTCTTGCTTCTAAATTATCTTCACTAAATATTCGACTATTAGCAAGAATAAATGATTCAAGTTGATCAGCTTTAGCTAAAAACGATAATAAGTTTTTTATAATGCAAGCCAGAGGCGTACATTTACTATGTATAAATATGTAACATAAATGAGATATCGATCGATAGGCGCAAGGTTCCGAAAAAGTATTTAACATTGATTTTTATTGACTTAAAAGTGGTTATCAATTTATTTTTTTTGCATTTTCCGGTGCGATTATTTTCACTGATCTGTTTTTATTAGTTGCCGATTATACATATTTTAGATTTGCATATGCTGCATGCAGTGTTCTATATAATTTTTATGATTAAGTTCTTATTTGAAGTATGTGTCAGTTTTCAAAAACTACTTTGTATGCCACTTTTTCAAATTAAGTGAAATATATCAGTCGCCTGATATTACCTTTATATTTTATGTACTGTTCTTCCAAAGCAGCCTTTTGTTGCTTCTGTTCAACAATAATACCGGCTAATTCTTGGCATTTCTGAACGCTTTCTTGCACCAAATCCACTGTTTGCGACAAAGTCGTTACACTTTTCAGCTCGATTTTTACATTTTTTATGTCTCTAAAAAGTTTCTGTTGTACCACTGGTGCGGAGAAATATTAGGGGTGGTTTATCATATGATTAAATTTTTGTTTTCTAAAATATTGGATTTTATTGTATTTACCCTTTTATATTGCCTATGGCACTTTTTAGTTGTCCGATGGATTGAGTTATGTCGGAGCTGTATAATTGGTCATGTTTGCGTTTTTCTTCTAATGCATCAACTTTTCGAGCTAACTCAGCTTTTTCCATAACTGCTTTTTGACAGTCATCTCTAAGCGCATTGTTTTTTGAAGCCTACATTTTTAAGTCTAGAATTTATCCTGAATAATAATGATATGATACTGACTAGTTACCTCCATTTTATACTGAAGTTCTAGCTTCATAAGAGAATTTTTGTTTTCGAAATATTTGGGTTCAAATTCTTGAATCCGCTGTTTGTACATTTCAGTAATTATTTTATTTTCCTCCATACTCTTTCTGAGCTTTTCAATAGCAGTTTTAAGCTCGTAATTTTCATGATTGCTTCGCTCTAGTTCAGTTTTCAATTTAGTTACCTCATTCTAAAACATTTGTGGTATTTGTTGAACGTAATTTTGCAGAAAATGCTCTAAATTTATTTCTTTACTTTACTAACTTCGACTAAAATAACTATGACTTAAAATTAAATATGGAATCTTCACTAATAAATTTTATTGCGCTGTATGACTGTATGCAAAACTTGTTTTTTGCTCGTTAAATATGTAGCGATTATACCAAAAGATAAATAAATTGAGATTTCAGAATTGTGTCGAAATATTAGCATCAGGTACTAGGAAACAAACTAATCAATGAAGAAAACTTGTTATTGTATTTTTATCGTCCTTTCCTTCACCTTTGTTTGGATTTGAACTGCATAGAAGCACTTGAGGAATGAGTGTATGGAAATCCCACAATATTGCAATATTATATCTGCATCAATATTATGAAAGTTTCAATAAATTCTATATCAAAACACTTAAGAAATGATAAAAATACCAGCAAAGTAAATATTGAATTTACGCCACGCCTTTACATAGGTAGTATATAAGGATGAACTTTCCATTTTCTTAAATATAATTTTATAGAGCGATAAATTAAAACTCAGCGAAAAAATGATCAAGTTTCCAACTGTACTGGTATTAGTAGTAATACTCGCTCTTGTCATGAGCACCATAAATGCACTGAGTGAGTAAACTAGTATATTTTTTACTTTTAAACTGTCTGAACCAGAAATCGTAACTTTTTCGACCGAGAAAACAATTTAATAATGATAGGGTATGTTTTTTAGTTGTGCAATGCAGTACTACTGATGATTGTATCCAGCAATGTAAAAACTCTGGTTACAATGGAATCGATAATTCTGACTGTGATTTGAATTTTGATTTAGGATTATATTCATGTCCTTGTGCATAGAATAAGCAGCCTATAAAATAGTTACCTACTGGCAAATAACATTTTTTGCAAAATATCATATTTCATTATGTATACTTTGGGAGCGATAGAATTTGCAATATATTTCTTATGAACACACAGTTATTTTATTTTCACCTGTGGTGACTGAAGTGGGTATAATAATAGGAGACTGAAAGTGGAAACAACCGAAACTATATATAATTTGCAATTGCTGCTTAATAGTACAATTACTTACTTAACTTACAATTTTGAGAGAATAGAAATTATAATTAAACATAATTAGAGCCGTTTTTTGCTATCCAGGAACGTGACTCCCAACCTTTTGTTTCTTCAACTTGAAGATACGTAAAAGTATGTTTATATACAGGTGCTCTTATAGAACAGTGAGACTGGGTGAGAGATTAGGAAAACACTTTTATGTATTTTTGCAAATGTGGAAAGCATGTGGTCACATAAAAACATGTGCGAAAAATTTAACATATCTTGAAGTAAAAACTGAAATACTTTAGGCAAAAATATTTTTTCACCTTTGTGATTTAAGTGGAAACCGAAGAGTTTGTCGTGAAATGCTTTTAAACAAAAAAAACTTCCTATCTAATGTATTAATAAGGAATAACTTGGTGAACTTTACTATGGCAGTTGTTTCGCCATGCTGAGGACATCATTTTGTAATAAAAGCTGATAAGCCCGCACTGATTTGCACAAAACTTCCAAGAATTTGCCAATTTTTCTTCCAAAATTATACCTGCCGTATTATCAATATGATAGTAAAGTTTTTAAGGCCCCTTTAGCCTTAAAGACCATAGATTATTCAAATATTCAATTTTTATGAGGAATATGCTTTTAAACTTCGACGATCTCTGAAAATCGTTCGCTGATGTTAGTAGGGCTTTTATGAGACACCCTGTTCACAGACACACAATTTCACAGCGAGTTTCATTAAAATTAATCGTATAACTCTACAGATATCTATTTTTTTTTTAAATTCGAAGAACTTTATTAATTATTAGAAGAGAAGCCAGAGATTTTTCTTAATAATTAATAAAACTTAGGGCAGATGGTTTTTTGAGCCAAAGAATATCTCAGTGCCCTTTTGATCATGCGGTACACCCTGTATATCAATCCATAAATTAGATTATGTAAATATTAAATAATAAATTTAGTCAATATCATCAGTCATCATCATGTCATCAGAATATTCAAAGTCGTGCTTGAATATTCAGAATAATGACTGAATATTTTATTCATTTTCAGATATATACAAGGTGTTTCATGAGGAATGGGCATTATTTTAACCACGTATTCTAGGTCCGAAAATAACCCTAGTTTGTACGCACGCCACTGGCAAAAATTAACAAGTTATTTTATTGCAAAACATGCGACTTTTCTAGCCATTGAACTCTGGAAAATTTAATTAAAATATTAAGATGCGTTTTGAAGAAATTTGTCATTTTGTATTTTTAAATTAAATTTCAACACCCTGTAAATCCGTAACAAAGCATTTTTGGATTATCGTTTCTAAAGCAAACTAGGCTTATTTTTGGACCTAGAATACGTGGTTAAAATAGTGTCCTTTCCTCATGAAACACCTTGTATATTCAAATAAGAAGATTGTGACCATACATATTCCGCAAATATTTCATATTATCTGAAATGACGTTTATAAAACGTCAGAAAGATGAAAGGGGGCGAAGCCTTACATTCATTCCCAATTTGCTATATAAAAATATAACTCAGAAAATGCACTGTTAAAAGTTCCCAAAGATACACTGTGCTCTTTGTGTTCACTTACCCGTTTCATATAAAGTTCAGTTCGAAGTTCTCTAAATGAAGTCTCAAATTTTTCCAGTTCAGTTCTATCCTGCTGCTCTGTGAGCGATTTTTCGTTTAATGAATCTAATCCACTCATGATGAAGTGTACAAACAGTATAAACTAGTGATTTGAAAAGATTTAACTTATATTCGATAGAACTCGGGAGGGAAATTATGCAGATGTTTATTCGTTTGCAAGTTGAGACATGACATTAATAATCTGAGCGGTAGGCGACTTCACAAACGAGTGCGTAACTCGCGCTTCATGCGTTGATTGCGACGCCTCGAACCAATCACGTGATTTAAAATAGTTTAAAGTTATGCGATTTTTTTGTAGTATTTTCTAAATTGTTAACTTGTTGCTTATTAAATTCACAACTGAATCCTGAATAATAATTTGTGTAATATCAAGTGAACCCATTAGCTGTTCGGATTTGATTAATATACATTAATATACGCAATGTTAATTAGGCAGATTACCTTGAAAAACATTGCTGCCGTATTTCTGATATAGTTTTTTGCAAATTTCTCAGATTTTAATAACAATTAATTTATTTTACTATTTTTTCTGTACTCCTATATCAGCGCCAGACAACACCTCCAGAGGAATGACGCCAATTTTGAATCACCCTGTAGTGTTGGAGTGTGATTTTACTTATAATGTTAATATTGATAAAAAATATTGCTTGATAACTTTAAGTAGGGCTGATTGTGGAGAATGCAAGTTAGTCTTTTCCGAACTTTCCAATTTAAAAAGTACTTGATATAAAAAGAATTTAAAGAGAAAAGAAAGAATCCTGGAAGGTATTTTTTTTATTATTGAAAAGGAATATTACCATTGAAAAACAAACTGCCTAGCAGAAAATGAACAAGTTGCGATGTGCAGGACTCCAGCCTAGCTTATTAGTTTACCGACTAAAACCCTTTCCTCGCCGTCAAAGTAACATCCAGCGACAGACTGCAATCGTTCTGGAATTCGTTGAATATACAGAAGTAATAAAGGAAGATAGATTAGTCGAGGCCATAACAGGACAGAAATTGTACCCTCGAATGTTCTCCTTCTTCATTACTCCTGTATATTCAATGAATTCCAGACGGATTTGGAAGATGGTACGTATTAGGGCTCGGAATCAAACTCGAATAATTCGAGTATTCGAATATTCGAAAAGCGAATAATTATGTGTAGTCATAACTCGAATATTCGAATACTTGAATATTCGAATATCCGAATATTTGAATATCCGAATATTCGAATTCTCGAATACTCGAATAATCGAATACTCCAACATTGTCAAACTCACAAAGTGCAAATATCTTTATATGCACTTTGTATACTTTTATAAAATAAATTATTTATATTCTACAAGCATTTAAACAAATACCCATATATTTACAAGCAAATGAAAATAATCATATTTACTCTCCTGCAAATGAATGTAAAATTACGTCTGTGAGAAAATGACATGAGATAACGATTTTTCTTCTTGGAAAAGGGTGAACGGAAAACGAACATTCGAATATCTAACGAATACGAATAGAAATACTCGAATATTCGAATATTCGTTAGATATTCGAGTATTCGAATAATTTTACTATTCGAATAAACCACTAAACGAATATTCGAATATCAGATTTTTAAAAAATCCGAGCCCTAGTACGTATATGTCTTTATTTGGTCGGATTTAGTCCCTTGTTTAACCAAAACCGTGTTTACAGGCCCAAAACGCTTTGATCGCCTGATTTGTGCTTTGTTCGAGATGTTTCTTGAACATACTTTTTCTATTCAGAGTTACCTTAAGCTATTTAACGGTGATGGTTTTCTCTATTGTACTTCCGTGGATATTCATTTTTCTAAGGGCTCTAAGAACAAGCGGTAATAGAAATTTTCGACAAGCTAATATGTGTTAAGTAGGGTCCAGCGCCTGCTGCGAGGTTATTTTTATGTTTAGACTCATAAGTCAGATTTTGATAATGCTTTAAATCACAACGTTTTAACTGCATGGCACGTATGTAGTCTACCTATTATTGTAAGAATAAATTATGGAATTCACATTTTTAAATAGTAATTTAAGTGAAGGATTTTTGGGCGATTTTTAAAACGTTTGTGGTCGATCGCGGATGACGGAGTAAGTTGCAATATATTCAAAATTTACCTTGTAAAACATTACATTAGTAAAAACAGACGCTAAATAAAATCCGCACAAACCGCAATATATTATTAGCAAAAATCGCAAAATAAACTCCAAAGTCGCCACATAAAATTCGTAAAGCTGCACATGGGAGCAGCATAAATGTTGGAAAATAGAAACTACAACCCTGGTTGCCATCTACTACTACAAAATAATTGTTGTGCATCACATGCCTGCATAGCGCTAGGTGGCAAAAAACGGGAGCAGTCGGGCGGTTTCTAGCCGCCAAAATTTGAATCAATCGTTTGACAAAATCAATCAATCAACAATCGTTGTCAATGTTTAGAGTGTTGAGATTTGGAAAAGCAGCACGAAATCAAAATTGGTACGCCAGGGTCACTTGCAGCCTCAAGGACTATCCAATAGATCACGACAAAACAATGAAAAAGTTTCACGTACCTTTGGCGCTTTGATCTGGATTCTGGGCCATTTGTACCTCTGAACACAACAAGAAGTTTAATTTACAGCAGACAAACTTTTACAATCCAAGATGTATTTACATCAGAACACACTTATTTCACATTTATATTTTAAAGGTTTATATATAAACAGTCTACTATAGAAAACCTGACTAGTTAGTGTTGAAAAATTGAGTGAACAAAGTCAAATAGATAGAAAATGTTTATATAAAACCAGTCAACTGTAGAAATTCTCATTAGTTAACGTACAATAGCTTACTTGAAATACATTTTACTGAAATAAAATTTAAAAGTAAAAAAACCCAATTCAGAATCAAGAAACCGCATCGTAGTTCCTCGTCGAATACATATTAAATGCAACAATATCATCAAAAACAAGTTATGTGAAATTAAAAAGGATCTACATGGCAACCAGGGGCAAAATAATGTCAAACTTACCGAAAGCTGCATTGTGCCATCTGGAAAGAAAGAAAAACATTCTTTAGTATAACAGAAACTTTATCTCAAAGCCCGAATATTTCAAATAAGCCAAGAGATACACAAAGAACGCCAATAATAAAGGCAATGATTTCGTCGGTATTAACCGAACAATAAATC